AGGGTTGAGCAAATGGCACAGAATATGGTTTGGCGAATAATCTAGTCTTCAAGTTCATTTCTCTACAATTTCGTCTTTTTTCGTTTGATTTTGGCATTCTACGACATTGGTATAGTTTTTATTAATTTTTTTTGCAACTTTTGGTATATTTTTGCTCATTTTGCAACTGTTTTGTACGATTTACAGTAAGGTTGAAAACTTTTTTTTTTTGGAAACGGCCGAAAATTCATGCGCGCGCGGATGTCATCCATATAATCAAATCAACATGGCCTTATGTGCAAACTTTGTGTAATACTACAATGGCATACATTAGAGTTTAGACATGTTAAGTTGAGAAGTTGAGAGGCACTTTTTAGTACCGGGCTACCAGACTGTTTATCTAAGTAAAGTTTGCCCTGTAGATGTCTATATTTGTTGACATGTTTAAATTTGTTTACCCCAGGCCCTGACTGACACCTACAAGTACGTGAGTCATCTGGCTGATCTGGGCAGACTCTGGGTGAGTCATGGACAGCAGTTTTCTTTGAAGTACATGCACAGTGCTCCTATTGCTACATGTAGGGCTGCATACCCGTTCACTGGACTTGGATCCGGACCTGTAATAATGTTTAGGTTCAAGTCCAAAAAAACCTAAAAGTCAAGAACTGAGTCCGGACTTATTACCATAAAAGACCATTTCACATACCCCCTTTCTTTCCAAACCACCTAAAACCTTCCATAGATTGCAAAATCTTTGCTGTAAAATGAAGAAAACATTGCCTTCGGGCATTGTAAAGTTTCGGCCTCCATGCCTCAAAGTTTTACCCAGACAACATTGCAAGGTTGCCAGCATGCAATTTTGTATATGCCTTGGATTTAGGTCCGGACTTACAAGTCTGAAAACTGAACCTTAACCTCTGGACTTGAATCCGGACCTGAACCTAAAATTGAGTTTAGGTATGCAGCACTAGCTACAATGTAGGTGTAACTTTACCAGGACTTGAAATTAAAGGTGGTCCGATGGCCACTGACCACTAGAAATAAAATTTAGCCTGGGACAGCTAAAATAGAAAGACACTTTAGGACATTCTCACAATAGAAAAATAATCAACATCAGAATGTCAGCCCTCCTTTTGTTTATATAAGTTAGTCCCACCAAATTTCCCGTCTTCTCTGCATTTATAGTGTGCCTGGCAGTCAGAATGTAATTATAAGCAAAATAAAGTTGACTTCAACAAGTTGAAGTCATACAATACTTCCCAAAGAACAGATTGGGACAGTTCATCCTCACTTTGGGACAACTGAAATTTATTTTTGGGACAGTGCTGGGACAATAGGAAGAAAAATTAATTTTGAGACCTGTTTACATGTATATTTTGCATTTTTGAGCACCCACAATTTGAGTTGTGCATATACACCTGATTTTTGACAGTGGATGTGTTGGTGCATATACATGTACATGTAGACATGTGTGTAGGCTTATTTATAGGGCGTCTTTAGGGTGTCCTACCAAAAAGCAGGGCGTCCAAATTCTTATTATTTTCAGTACAGGGCGTCGTACAGGGTGTCCAAAAGACATCCCCTAGCTAAAAGCCTGATTTCGACTCCATTTATATTAGTATAAAGAGATGGGGACTATGGTGTGTTGACTGTCCTTATGTGTATGTTACTTACAGGGACATCTACAGGAAGGCTATGGGAAACTGATAGCTCTCTACTGTAAACTTCTGGTCACCAAGATAGAATTTCACCGAAAGGTATGTGTGTCTGTTGTGTACATTAACAGTTTTGTGTTTCTAAAGTTCCACTGTTTGTTAAGTTTGAGCAATGTTACTACTGATTTCTGAATATCATAGGATATGCACCAGTACATGTATATACAAAATGTTCAAATTGTGTAAAAAATACCTTGTTGTACTAGTATATACACAGTGATATGCCTGTCCTTAGTGCCAAATGCTATCTACACACATAAACATATCTGTCCTTGGTACTGAACGCTATCTACACACATACACATGCCTGTCCTTGGTGCTGAACACTATCTACACACATACACATGCCTCTCCTTGGTGCTGAACACTATCTACACACATACACATGCCTTTCCTTAGTGCTGAACACTATCTACACACATACACATGCCTTTCCTTGGTGCTGAACACTATCTACACACATACACATACCTGTCCTTGGTGCTGAACACTATCTACACACATACACATGCCTGTTTTTGGTGCGGAACACTATCCACACACATACACATGCCTGTTTTTGGTGCTGAACACCATCTACACACATACACATGTCTGACCTTGGTGCTGAACACTATCTACAAACATGCACATGCCTGTCCTTTGCACTGAACACATTATTTGAAAAAAATGCTTATACTGTGTACCCTGGTGTGGTATTGATGTTTTTTTTATTGTTCCCAGAATGCAGCGTTTCCTGGTAATCTACAGATGTCAGATGAACAGCTGCATGCAGCTGGAGAAAATGACGTCAACAACTAGTAAGTGTAAACAAACATAAGTTGACCTAAATTTTACAGCATCCTTTTTGTCGACAACCTCCTATAACTTCATCACAACAAAGTATTTTTTTTAATCCTGTGTAGTTATTGTCAGAATGGATACCCAATCCATACCTGAATGCCTTGTTATGTTTACCTTTGCAAAAGATATTGTAAGTAGCAGAAATAGAACACCCCTGGGTTAGAATGGTACAACCTGCCACCCCCGGTGGTGAGTAGGCTAGTCCACTTCTTGGAACCGGTTATATCCAGTTCAGTCCATGTTCTACTCTAGAATAAACACTACAGCAAGTCCTCTCATCATACCCTAACCTTGGGGTGGGGGACAGGGCAAGTAAATGGTTCGTTACAATATTGTTTTTGCTCCTTTTTTCTCTTCCTTTCAAAACACACAAGGTCAATGATCTAGCCTAGATACCTGACACTATGGTTACTGGTGTTATAGGCTTATGGCAGACATCTTGTGGTGCTGGGTTCCATTTTGTAACAATTTAAGAGACAGTTGAGGGGCTGGTTACCATAAACGTGTACGTGAATGTGTTTGAGTAAGATGTAACAGAGCAGTAGTTTGTTGTGCTAGACCATGGGAAGGATTTCCAGTGTGCATTTGTTTTGAAAATATTACTTTTCTAGTTTCCCAGCATAACTTGTTGTTTTCAGTTTCCAGCTGACAGTGGAGATGTTTGATTACATGGACGCCATCCTGGCCATGCAAGCTGCAGGTAAGGGTCATGTGTCAAAGGTTATGTGTCATAGGTCATGTGTTAAAGGTCAAAATGGATTGTATTACTTATAAATGAGTTGTGGATCAATGATATCATTTGTTCCAAACAGGTTAGGTTATTCATAGAACTATATACAGTGGTCGAAATATTTTTTTTCAGTGTTCTGCAATATTGCAGAAGAGTCAAAATTTTGTTCTGCAATTTGAAAATACTTTCTGCAAATACACAAGCCTCCATACTACAACCTTCTCAAACCATTACTGTCTTTTTACATCATATATAGCTTTGTAAATCTGTAGCATTACTGGAATTCTTTTAAGTTCAATCTATCACTCTTTTTAATTTCAGACTTTATAGATCCTTCTCCACAGAAATCATTTACTGGTATCTTCACGGGTCTTTCACCACTGTCTCCCACTACAAGCTACTACAACTAAAATCATACCTTACCAGTAAATGTACTAGTAATCACACCCACATATCATCCTTCCACACAACATACTAATAAAGACACACCAAAAAAACTGTACTTAACTCTTAAGCAACTCGATATGATTTTGGTGCTACCTGAAATGGTCAGACTGCTACCTTTCGTCAGTGACACTAAGAGAATTGCAGGTTTATAAGTACCAACTATTGATTCATAATGCAAATTAGTGAAGATAAACTTTTGGAAGTCCAAAGGGAAACAAAAGATAGACAAGTATGATGCAAATTAGTAAAGCTCCTGTTGCTTCAAAACAGGAGCTAATAAGTGTTGTCTGTCCTTGGGGCCAGAAAGTTCTAGTTTGCTAAATTGAATACTATTGAATCTGGAGCCTATTTTCTGCAAAATTGCAGATTGTATAAACTTTTCTTCTGCAATCTTTAAAATGTATCTGCAGATTGCAGACTGCAGGCAGGTATTTCGAACACTGATATATGAGGTAACAGTACTAGGTAGTCTTTTTCAGTTGCTGTCTTTTTTTGTTTTCCATATAATTGATATGATATATGGTTTCAGTCTTGTCATCTGTGGGACCCATCCGACCTTTGACCTCCTCAGGCTAGTAGAATTCGAACTTTTGGCTAGGTGCATGTGGGTGGTGAGACGGGTGAAGGGAAGCTCGGGAATGCCACGGAATTTTGTGGAATGGAGGAAAATAAAACATAGGCAGAACATTCTGTGCCAGCATGAAACCTTCATTACATTGTGCAAAACTTGAATTTTCCACAGTTTCTACTTGACATTTGGTCAGTAAAAATTTGCCTGTTGCAGACGATATCTTTTCTGACAACATTTGGAAACTATACACGAGTTAGAGTTTATAAAGTGAGACATTCTGTCAAAGTACAATACATTACAGGTTTCATGCAGGCGCAGTAAATTTTTTCTGCCAAGGTGCGATGTAGACCTGTTTTTTAACAGATATAAGGCCACACCAATTTAATTTGTTGGTTCTTGGATTCGCGCCTTCATTTTTTTTTATCTAAAAAAGAAAGATTCTGGTTCTGAATCAACTCAATTATGCTCATATTTTGCCCCCAACAGTTGAGGAAAATCCTTTTTTTCCAAGTTGTTACAGTTTTTCTATCAATGCTGTGGTTTGATTTAAAGTAAGTGTTAATTTTTTTTCCCTACCGCTTCATATTTTTTCTGAAAAAATTTGACAACCAACAAATTAAATTGGTGAAGCCTAACTGATCCCTGTGTACAACAGGCACATTATATTAAATAATAACATAACATGTGAGGCAACCAGTGCTGTTCTGTACTCATATTTTTTTCTTCCCACAGTGTTTGCGACCCTTGACCCGACCCGGTCTAACTCCATGACCTCCA